TCGGCGGTGGGTCTGATTGTCGGGCTGGGGGCGGGGCGGGGGGGGGTGGGGGGGCGATTTCAACTCTTAAGCGCCCCCTCCTTTGTTTTCAATTTTACCGTAACTATTATGTTTTGTTCCACGCTTCTTATTCGTACTCGCATATACTTTATTCATAGTTTGACTTCTTTAGAGATTTAGTTAGAACTAATACAAAAAGTTATTTGTCTGCTCTCTTTCATGTAGCTGTTTATTATATCATCAATTTGTCTTTATTTCATTGAAAAACATTTTCTCTTCTATGAAATGAAAAAACAAGAGAAAATTGATTATTACATATGAATCTTTTCAGTCGAGGGTAATGCGAGTCCGTCTCGACGAGCGTTATTTATACTTACAAGTGAACAGAAGAGTTTTGAAAGCAATTGAATATTCAAATAATTGAAAAACTGCTCAAATAGTTAAATAGTTGAATTGAAATTTTGAGTTTCTCATTACTAAAAGATGAAAGGGTCATAGTAGCTATTCATAACTTACGGCCGTGTCATGTGAACAATGATCATGAATAATCAACATTACACAAATAACAAGAACGATGACAGTCCTTTGGTTAGTTTTGCAAAAGCGTGAAATTGATGAGGAACGTTCTCGAGATGTCGTTTCTAAGGACAAGTTTTATCTTAAGTATATTCCAATCGGTCGAGGGTAATGCGAATCTACCTCGAAGAGCTTTGTTTTATTTTTTAACTTCAACAATATAACTAACTTTCAGTTATATATGTACCACTACTCCCTATGACTTGTCGCCATCGGTCTCACAGAGATAGGATACCGCGTTCCTAGTAGTCCTTTGACTTTTGACCAAAGAAGTTGGCGATATCCATTCTTACGTCGTCGAACTTTCTCTCAGCCAAATGATAAGAAAGAGAGCGAAACAAATGGTGATTCGTTGGTGTTAAGTCAGGAGAATAAGGTGGATAAGGAACCGTAATTCAGCCAAGCTTCAATAATTTTTCGCGGGTCGACTTTGCAACATGGGGTCGGGCATTATCATGCAAATAGTGAATTCGATCCTGCTTTCCCTTGAGTTTGTTGGGAACCCGGTCCAATTGTTGACAATAGAAATCACCAGTGATAAGATTGCGGAGCCATTGGTAGTTGCGGTGAGATGTCATTAAATCCATACAAGCACCAGCCCGGCGTTGTAGCTGATGTGGTGATGACTGGTGAGATATCCAAACTCCAATGTCTTCCCTAATTCGTTCAGATGTTTTTCCACTGCAACACAAGAGTACCCTAGCTGCTTGTTGGCTGTTTCCGTTGCTTTGTGACCCAAACGAAATTCATGAAGTAAAAGCACTCGAGTCTCTCTACGAGAAAGATTCATTTCCACTTGACAATCAGCATCTATATCGATGACTTTATAATCGTCCGGAAGATGTTCACATTTCCTTCATATACCGCTAGTGTAGAAACTTCGAGAACTTTCTAGAATGTTTTAGTACATTTTTAAAAAACCGCAATAACTTTGTTAACAACCTAGTATTTACAAAATGATAAAATTAGAACAGATTTGATAAATTCTTCAAAACGCTTTGTATAATATCTTTCGATGAAAACAAATGCAAGATTTTTCTGACAATGTAAACGTTGTCTGCAATTGAAGATAAGAAGAACGAGTTAAGAATATATATTTATAGAGAGAGATTGTTGACTGAAGTAATTACATTCATTATAAAAATGACTTCAGCACATAATGTTTCCGAGATCGTTGATGAAAATCGAACTACCTTTTGGATTCGTTTAAAATATGAAGAACGTCTCGATACCACAGTAAAATATTACACATCAAAGATGGTAATTGTTCATATAATAGCTGCATGTGGTTTATCAATCTCAGAACTTTATTATGGTTTAAGTTATCCAAATCAATGTCCAATCGAACCTATGATTAGCACATTTCTTATTGTTCATGGTGCCACTAAATTTCTATGGATTTTCTTAAATATTCTTGCAATTATTAATGCCAGATTTCTTTACGGAATAATCAATAAAAAAAGTCTAGCACGTCGACTTATCCTAATAAATCTTCTACTTCAATTTCTTTTTGCTATATGGTTCTTTTCATGGTTTATTGCCGGAAACATTTGGATTTTTCGTAATAAAAATCATTATCAATCTAGCAATTCATCAGATACAAATACATTTTGTCGACAAGAATTATATGACGCAGCAATGTTGATCATTAATGTGACATATGGTGGCTTCGCAGTCACTCTCATTGCGACAATAATACGTCGTCTTATTAGTAGAAAAAAACAAAAAAATGCAATGAATAATCAATAAAATTATTAAAACTTATTGATCGACGGTAAAAATTCTAACATAAAGAAAAAATAAATGTTGTGTCTTCTTTAATTTATCAAAAAAAAAGAAATATTTCTTGATCTGACAATGTTCTGATTTTGTCATTTCTATAAATATTAATTAAGATTTGAAATAAATGGAAAAAATATTATCCTTGGCCATTACTAATGGAAACACTGTTGATTGAGTTTTATTTTAAAATTCAAATTCTCATTTGATATTACAGAAAATAAATAGCTTTTATTAATTCGATTTTGTTGACTTATATTGAATATCAGCCCCATATTAAAGTAAGGAAGAAGGACCTTGAATTTGAAGAGTAATTTAATAATTCTTATCAGAGTATTGACGAAGGGTGCGTGGATGTGAGAACAGCTAGCAAGACGCGTTTCAACTCGGCTGAGAGTCACATTTGCAGTAGTGTCAAACTTGAAAGTTGAATTCAAGTATTCAAGTATTTCAAATATTCAAGTATTCACTTTTTCCAGTATTCTAGAGTTCGATCTTTCGGTGCCCGCACATACCGTGAACATTTACAGAATTCACATAGTAAGCGAAAAAAGATGGATTTTTGGGTACGAGCGCTCAGAAGGCCTTCGGCCCTCTTCGCTACCGGCCTCCTCAGTCGAGTGCTCAGACGGCCTTCGGCCGCCTTCGCTAGGAACTATCGGTGTACGCTTGACGACGATTGCTATTAAGAGCAGTTAACCCGAAACCCATCGTAACAGTACATCTGTCATTGCCGTTTCCATCAAAACACAGGCAACTCAGCTATCGCCCGAGAACGTCCCAAAATACTTCGCCTTAATATTACCATCTTAGTTTTGGCCTCACAACCAGGCCACCCACACCCACCCTTATTATGTTCATGTTATAATGGAGCTTCATCAACAATATCTCTTCGTGAACAACTTATAGGCACACACCTATCGGATCAGTCTGACAGAATTTATGAAATTCAAAATGTTCAGATCTTCGAAATGGGATGTATTAATCCACTTTCGCTTTCACACTCAAGCAGTACAATTCATATTAAGTATTCTGAACAAATCACGAATTGTTTATTTGAAGAATACCAAACGCATAAACTAGATCTGTCGATATGCAACACGACATTGACAAGAAAAGAAAATTAAAAGTATTCATAGACAAATTCTCCTCTTTCTTAGATTTAGTTTGAATTTAGCGGCACTACTTGATTCCTACGACAACGAATAGTAATATGTCGGCATGTATGCCAATAAAGACGTAAACTATACCAAGCAAATACTTTCAGTCCAATAGTTAATCCGCCGTACAAACCAAGAAATGTTGTTATCATATATAAAATACTATTTCTTTCCACAGAACTATACTCGCACGAGGATGGTGAACAGGACGAATAATAGTTTGAATAATTACTCGAATTTTGCCATGTTTCGACGAATAATTCATCGATTAATTCACCAAATGTCACAGATAACAACGGATTGAAGCGAGTTGGCATATATTGATTAAGAGCATTCGGAAAATTACTAGTAATATTGAAAAAAGAAGCGATTCGACTTAAACATGTTAAGTTGTAAAAACAATCAAGTGTTGATCGACGAAGACCATCAATAGGTAGACAACCAAAAAATACACCTGCAAATCAAAGAAAATGATTTTTTCAAAGTTGATTGAGATACTTCACCTGGTATTCGTATTGTTTGATTATAAATTGTGAGTAAAGATCGAAAACATCGTGATGGTGATGTTGTACATACACAAGATTGTCCACTTTCGTTAAACCATATGGGGAATGATTCGATTTCGTAGTTTATCTGTGAATTCGGAGCAAAAGATTGCCAATTTAAATTGAATTTATGCTGTAATTGATTTGCATGAAACATTTCAGTAATAAAATGATGTATCCATTGAAAGTGAGCCAATGTTTCAACAATAAAATTCTTGACTATTGAATCAACTTGACTTTGAAATGAATCATATGTTAATGTTTTAAGTGTAATAAGTTGCTTTGCTGCAAGTGTTTTCATATTTCGTTCAACTGTAGTTTGTGCCAATGTACAAAACGACGATAAAGCATAAAATAAACCAGCTAGATTTTTCCTATCATAATTAGTCATATATTCTTCTTGCGTTTCCTTGCCCCAAAGTAATGTGATAAAATCTAATGAAATAAAGTCAGTTGAACAAATTTGGTGATAAGTTGATGGCCTAATAGAAACAAATGCTGAATATAATATTGCAATGTTGGAACATGGGCATATTAATGTTGATGAATATTTGCTTTGTAAATATTCAAATGTTGATAAACTTGGCGAAGATATGTTTGTTAAATTAATACGAGTGTCGAGATTGAGAAATATGAGTAGAATGCTAATCGAAAGCACGAAAAAAAGAGTATAAAGTCGAGTTGCGATAGATTGTTGTTTAATTAAGGATATATCACATTCCGATTGGCTTCCATGGTAAAAATTCATTTGTTTAAGAGAGTCTTGACATTGAAAGAGAAAAGTTGCTAATTTTCGAGTGAAATTCTGTTCGTTTTCAATTCGTTTATTTGTTGTACAAAAATAACGAGAGATTCGTCGAATAAACTTAACAAGAAGAGGAATTAATATTTTAAGCGCAACAGATAATCCACCAATAAATCCAGTTACTGTTGCAATCATATAAGATGTACTAAAGCGTTGTTCATAAGTAAAGACACATATATTGGGTGAGCATTCTTCGAAGTATTTGTGAAAACTCATTGAATGAGTCCATTCTTCAATAAATAATTCGGAAATGATTTCATCCAGTCTTGTTGAAGGTGTAAAACGACTTTTAATCATCGGGTTCAATGTTGTCACATTAGCTGCACGTGGATTAAGTGTAATTCTGGACATTCCCAATGGATAAGCATCAATTAACATTTGAACGCATGTTGAATTGTAAAAGCATGTTAGTGAAGATATTGAAAGTGAATCGACTGGTGAACAACTTGCAAACCAATCAGGCGCACTTAAATTATATCCACTTTCATTTCTTAAACACGATCCTATACAATTAAATACTGTTTCCGTTCGACAGAATCCATTGATGGCACATGAACAATTAGGATCATCAAAAACGCGTTTTGATTCAAAGAATACTTGTGTACTGCCATTTAATGATAAGAATATCGTGGTCGCATCCGCACTTGCTGGATTTAGCAAATGATTTACTCGGATGGATGTTTGAATCATTTCAAATAAATCATGAAAAGAATCGACTGTCTAAATGGATAAAGCAAAGAATGATGTAGAAGAGCGTTGTGAAACGAGAACACCATCCTACTATAAAGGCTAATCAAAACTGTTTCATACTGAATTGAGAAAAAGGTTGGCGATCGTTTACAAAAATTTTTATTTTATAAATTTACTTTTAAAGTTTGTCACATAAACTTTCAATGGAAATACCTAGCACATTCGAGATATTCCACATCATCACCTTTTTTTTTATACATACCGGCGACTTACCATCGGTTTTTAACATTTCTGCTGAAATTTATAACAAACTTTAACCTTCTGAGAATATTTACTATTATGTCTGGTGCTACCGAGAATCACCCCAAGATACCATTCTATACTTAGATTCAAACTATTCAATTTTAATACAAAAACATTTGCAATGCTGCCGTAGTTAAATCTCAAAAGACTGTATCTAATTATCCGAGAGATTTACATCGTGTGACTGATTCAGGCGACTCGAGCATCTCAATAGTACTATACGGTCACGACGTTCACTAAAACTTATCAATCGTAGAAAATTTTGAAAGTTTGTAGTTATTTTGTACAAATCTAGCTGTTTTTTTTTTATAGCTGATAAACTGACGATTAATAGGTGGGATAGCATCGGCTTATAGTAGAGCTGTGTCGAATAAAACAACATCTGTTGACTTTATCGATTCCCCCCATCCTCCTTGCCAAGTTGCTGCGGTCTTACATAAGTATGTTTGGTAAGGTTCAAAGATAAACAAACCAAGTCAAAAAATGTATATCATATAAACACTTCATACGCTCCAATTTAAACTGTAGCAAAGAATGCGATCAACAGCAAAAATCTTGATGATAATTTACCGAGGTCATGACTTGACTCGCCTACCTCTAATGACGTTAAACTTCGTATCTTTTGATTTTCAAGTTAACAATAAGCAGTGTTTATATATGGTTGGAAAAGCTCATAGTAATATGTGATTACTTTCGATCACAACAAAATGTTTTTCTTTTTGTTAGTCTCCATTCGAAGCGCTGACGCTTTTACAGTGACTTCTCTCAAATATTGTGACATAGGTCACATCGATCTGGCGATTTGTCCAAATACTATAAATTCACTACACATTGTTTTATTCAAGAGAATGTCTAAAGTGTAGATTAAAAAGACTGACATTATGTATGAAGTAACATAAGTATAGCATCTCCAATATGCGCATGCAAAGGATAGATAGAATGGTATCCTCTCCAACAAATATAGAACATCTTCGAAAACTTTCAAACCATTCTGTTTACTTACCTGTCGTTTAAATTGTTCGATAATCGAAGATAATTGAATATTAAATGTGTCATTTGTTGTCACTTGGCTCGTGAAAAATTGCATATTATTAAATACATTGAGTTCATTGGTTATAGTTTCGTATGATAAAATACACAACTTCTGAAGAATACGAAATGATCCCATACCCGTCGTGCGGAAATCATTTAGAGGAAAAATTCCGACGAGATTCGCATTATATAATAACCAGACATCGTCCTTGATAAAATCACTTGAACATACTTGATGTAAGGTTGCATTTATATCTATGATCGAAGCGTATTTTATTGAAATTTGTGAACATGGGCAAGTTAACTTCGACGAATATTTTTCAACCAATTGTTGATAAGCATTAAATGAAGGATTATTTATAGTTATTGAACGAAGTTGTGTTAGAACGAATGAATAAAATATTAAACTGATTAAGCCAAAAGTTAAAACTGAAATATATAAACGTGTTGAATAAATTCCATCTTTAATATCATTAAACAATGGAAACATATTGTATGTTTGTATTTCTTGTAAAACTGTTCTACAAGTACTTAGAACACGATTTTTTAAATCTGAAAAATTCCACACAAAAGATAATTATGAATAGCTAAAAGGCGAAATCTTTCTTTTACTTTGATTTTCATTTCTTCGAATATTTGTTGTTGTCTGATCTGTCCGAGAAAATGATTTCTCTATTTTTCGTATGCATTGAATAAATATCGGTGTGAGAAGAAATAAAACAACTTTTAATCCACCAAATAAACTGAATACAGTAACAATAATATACAAAATGTTAAATGATCGATCGAACGAATATGTGCACAGTTTTGGAGAACATGTTTCATAATATTTACTAAAATTATAGATTTCATTCCAGGATTCAAGAAATAAATTATTCAACAAGTCATTTATTGACGTTTCTGCCGAGTATCGAGAAAGTTCCACTGGTGAGACCAAAGCAAATCCGGGAATAAACTTTTGAAGCGAGTTTAAACATAATTGATCAGAAAAACATTCTAATGTTGAATTTAACAATGAATTATACGGAAAACAACCAATCTTTGTATTGGGTAAAATAAACAGAAGATTTGAATCATTATCAAATGTACCATAGAGCGAAACACCGTTGATTCCTATTCGTCCAGTATTATTATAAATATAAGCTGGATATGTACATTCGTCATCTTTTCTACAAGAACAGTAAGTTGATACATTTCCGTACAGCTGTGTTAGGATCGTAGAACTATTCAAGATGTAGCGCATATAATTACAACTGCGCAATCCGGGATACATTCTGTTATAAAAAATGTTAAACCAAATGAAATTGTTAATATGTTTTTGTGCAGTAATTGTATTTTTTTGAAATTGATTAACAAGTGTTGATATTTGACTTTGGAAATTCTCAACAGATAAAGCTTGAGTTGTGATCACATATTGAGAAGAAAATTCCTGTAAAACAATGCTAAGTTTTTCTTTTATCATTCGACAAAATATTTGGATAAGTTGAACATGCGATGAAACCATTAAACGATAATCAATTGGCCAATATTTACTAACATCGATATCAGTTAAGGATAAAAGAAATGCTTCATCAATAAATTGACTGGAACAGATTGGATGGTATTCTGGATTAAATGACACAATTTCACCTTGATTTATTGAACTTTGTTGACATAAACATGAGAATGTTTGACGATATTTAATTGAAAATTGTTTATAAATATCTTCGGATGGTGTATGAACTATAACTAGGTTTGTTTGAGAAATCAAACTTGTAAATAAAATTATTATCAGAATTGAAGAAAACAACGATAAAGTAAATAATCTTGTTGAAGTTATTTGATCTATATAAGATAGTTTTTCATTTTCTTTATATAGATTAAACGTTTTAGTAAGATCAACGAGCTTTCTTATTCTGTTGGTGTTCATTTGTTCTTTTAGCATAAAATGAGATGAAAATATGCAGAATATTTATATTGCCGAAATTGCAGATTGTTCTTTGATGGAAAGAAACTTATTTATGTCCTTTTGTTTTCAATAGGATGAAAAATTAATTAGATTTTTGTTTATTTAACGGTCATATTTAACTGTTCCATTTCCTTTTGTTTCAATTACGAAGAAAATTAGCTTGACAATTTATTGTGATTCGTGTCAATTTAGACTTTACGTATGTAGAACAATTTTGCGACAATGTCTTTTTTTTGTTTGGAAAGTGAAGCATGTCATTCTCAGAATAATCTACGAATCTCGTTCTTTTAATATAGGACTGTTGAGAAGGACTAACTGATATGAGATGATGATCATTCAAAGTACTTTGTTGAGTGAGATTTCACTAACGATAAATGAAGAATGTTTGTAATCCAAGCTATTCTCTTCACATCAGTATGGAAATGTGTTATACATCACTCGGCACGAAACCGAATTATTTCGTCTTCAACTGTATGGTTCCGTGTTTATCAAATACATATCGTAATGCCAACCTTCAAACTCTTTTGTGAAAAAGATTCGTTTTAGCAAAATTTTTGGTTATCTAATAGTCTTTCGATTGTGTATCGGTCTATAATATCACAATCACATGCTTGTGGTGCAAAGAAAAAGAAAATCATCGGCAGTATTTCTCCTTTTTCTTTTTGTTCAGTGTAAAATTAGTTAATGGTTCATGAGAAAAGAAAAATACTTTTTCGGTTATATAAATAAATTGACGCGTCAAACTCATATTTACCACTAAACATCCCAGGTCAACAAATCCGATGCTGGATCCGATCGAATTCCTGAAAACGGAATTGCATTGGAATCCGACGAGATCCGACCTGGGATCGTCAATTTATCGTCGAAATATAAAAGAAATTAAAGTTGTTAGTATAAATCTGTACTAAGACGAGAATCGTTTCATATTAAAGATGTATTTCGATTGAATTCTCTTACAGAAATCAAATCACGATGATAGTCGCTTGATTCATCAACAAAACGATTACTCTCGCCTTCATAACGAAGGAAGAGTCTATAGGTATTACGTATTTTTGGGGATATATAATTCTGCTCGAATAGTAGAAGTATATCCGCCAGATATTATAACTTGTCCATTCGTTAACATCGACGCTGTATGGTACATTCGCCCATAATTCATACTATCTGTTGTTGTCCAACGCTCGGTTAATGGATCATACAGTTCACAATCATGCAAAGGGCCTCCATCAGTGTATCCGCCAGTTACTAACACTTTTCCATCTCTCAGTTGAGTAGCAGTATGATACATACGAACATTTCTCATACTATCTGTAACATGCCAAGTTCCTGTTGACAGATCATACAGTTCACTACTATTCAGAATACCGTTGTTACCAATACCGCCTATGACAAGTACTTTCCCATTCTTTAGCATAACTGCAATGTGTCCTGCCCGTGCCTCATTCATGCTACTAGTGAGAGACCAATTGCCTGTTTGCATATCATACAATTCCGCACTGTTTATACTGTCTCCATTGTTCTCTCCACCCGTAACTAACACCTGTTTATTCGGTAGTAATGTTGCTGTGTGTCCACCACCTCGTCCATAATGCATACAACTAGCAATGGACCACTGTTCTGCCAATGGATCATATAACTCAACACTATCGAGATCATCAAAACCACTACCACCTTGTCCACCAATCGTCAATACTTTGCCATTAGTTAATCGTATTGCAGCGTGTCCCATCCGAGTATCATTCATGGTTTTAGTGCTTGACCAAGTTTCTGTTGATGGATCATACAGTTCAGCACTATTCAGACTTTGATCACCACTCTTTCCACCTGCAACTAAGACGTTTCCATTTGACAGTACAGTTGCCGTATGAAGTGTTCGCATTTCGTTCATGTTCTCAGCCATGTTCCAAGTTTTCGTAGATGGATCAAACAGTTCCGCACTTCTGATAATACGGTCAAGACCTCCTCCACCACAAACTAAAACTTTGCCGTTGTTCAACACAGATGCTGTGTGAAGATATCGTTCCTCATTCATTTTTCGAGTATTTATCCAAACTTCTATCGTCGGATTATACAATTCAGCGCTATTCAGAAGTTCATTGAAACTATAGCCACCAGTCACTAATATTTTCCCATTCGATAATGTCACGGCTGTATGAGCAAATCGATTCTCTCTCGTTCTGCCACTGGGTGTCCAACTATCTACTGATGTGTCATACAATTCTGCAAGACCTAAAGCATATCCACCGTCTGTACCACCCATTGTCAACACATTCCCATTTGGTAATACAGATGTAGTATGAAGAGCTCGTGCATCATCCGTACTATCAGCGATTGTCCAGATTCCCGTTGCGGGATCAAACAGTTCAGCGCCGTTTAAAGCATCACCATCTTCCTTTCTATCGCCACCCAAAACGAATATTTTCCCATTCGTCAATTTTGTCGCTGTATGATAATACCGATGTTCGTGCATTCTCTCATTAGCACTTGCCCAAGTTTCTGTTCTTGGATCATATAGTTCCACAGTATTCAGCGAACCATTTATATTTTGTCCCCCAGTAACCAATACTCTACCATCTGTTAACATCGTTGCTGTATGCCATGCACGAGCATCTCTCATATCATCTGTTATTGACCATTGCCCCGTGATTGGATTATATAACTCTGTGCTACTTAGACTACCATTAATACCTTCTCCACCTGTTACCAACACTTTACCATTTAATAAAAGCGTTGCTGTATGTGCACTACGTCCAATACGCAAATTGCCAGTTATTGTCCAAAGTTCTTTTGATAGATCATATAATTCAGCACTATTTAAACCATGTTTATTGTTGCTGTTCTTTCCACCAGTGACCAATAGTCTGCCATCTGTCAATACTACTCCAGTGTGCTGCTGCCGCTCTTCATTCATATCGTTGATCATTGTCCAAGTTTCAGTAGACGAATCATACAACTCAACAGTTATAAGGGCACCAGTATCAAGATCTCCGGCACCACCAGCAACTAAAACTTTTCCGTTTTTTAAAACGGACGCGGTGTGCATGGCTCGTCTATAGCTCATATCTTGAGTACGAGACCATTCTAGAAAAAAACTTATAATTAGTTAAAGTAGAAATAAATTTACTTGGTGGTTTAACAGTAGTAGTGGTGGTCGTAGTGGTCGTTTTCGTCGTCGTCGTCGTCCTTGAAACTGATGTCGAGGTCGATGTTGTTACGGACGTTGACTCTTCTGATGTTGTTGTTGTTGAATGTGAAGTTGGCGTTGTTATTGTAGTCGTTATCGTAGTTTCTGACTTCGTTCGCTTCAGTATAACAAACTTCATTAGCAAAGAAAGAAGAACTACAAGAACTGCTAAGATGATGACAATAAGAATGACGACGATCCAACGACGCTGTAGACGTCGAATTTGCTTCTTATTTTGAATATGATCTTCATTGTAAGCGTCGTTTTTGTGCATATTTTATTATTTAAAAAATGTTGAAGTATATGCAGAGCTGTGTTGTTTTTCTTCTGCTCACGTAGAAACGATGAAATCTAGCCATATTCTTATCATCACCTAACCTATTTTGTATATGCGAGATATAGAACAAAGTTTTGTTACATTTCGAGTATGATGTATACTCAAATGCATCTCTAGTGGAAATCGTATTATTGGCTTGATCAGTTGCTGTTGAATAGCAAAATGAAATACGAAGATCTCTTATTTGTTTGTATAATTTTAATTAGTGTTAATTAAATGTGTTAACAGTGAAGAAAATAAAAACAATTTATTAGAGACGAAACCGCAATATTTGGATATGTCTGAGCTGATTTTAACTCTGTTTTAAATGTCAAAAATAGAATTCAACGATCGAAGTCGATAAAGACGATGCTAATGATAAGAGAAAAACATGAGCTCGCTCACACGCTCCTTTACTTTTTGTTTGTTTCTATCGTTCTCTACTCTTATGAAGAAGAAAAGATGCATAGAGCTGTGTACACCTTTTTTAATTTCAGCTGAATTTGGATGTACTTGCGATAAATGCACCCCAGGTGGTTTTTGGACAGAACGGGAAAAGGTAAATTGAGAATGGCATGTTTCTTTAACTGACAACGCTGGGAATTTTCCCAGTCAGAAGAAAAAGCGCAAGATTTATATGCAACGACTTTGCTCATAATTATACGATTGCGTTGTTAACCGAACTAGGTGTGATGAACGGTAATCTATCGTCAAGCCGACTTCGACTTGAAGTACTTCCTGATGAACTTTTCTTGGAAATTTTTCAATATGTTGATCCTGTCGATCTGTGCAGTTTCAAAGGTCTCAACAGACGAATCGATGGTATTATCGAAGCTGTCAGAGTAAATATCGCTGTACAATGGCAAGAGGACTATGAGCTTGATTATATATCAAGTTTTACACCGACACAAATCATCCGTCTGGAAATACATCGTGAATGGCCTTTATTGAATTTGCATACATTGCCGGAACTACGCTCGCTGACACTTGATTGTAATTGTCTTTCGAAAGAACAGATGAATCAGGTAATTTTAACACTTCAAAGATGTTCATCTTCAATTTCCTCTTCTGTTTGAATTCATTTAGATCGTCAGTGTCAGGCTGCCACATCTCGAACGGCTCTCAGTAGACAGTGTGACGCATGATTTGCAAGAATCGTTACTTGATACTCTCTTCCAAGGTGAACACTTTCCATCACTCACGACTTGTCGTCTTAAATTAGAGTATTATTACACTTTCGAACTCAATGAATATCGAACATCATCAACAAACAATGCAATTCGTTGTTTTACTATTGACAGATGGAATCTGTTCAATCTTGGCTCTCTATGGAACCAGTTGCCTAATCTACGCAGATTCGAAACGAGCTTTGACGAATGGTTCCAGCCCAAGATCTGTTCAAGTAAACCTCATTTATCGATCAAACACGTACAAGTTACGCTGAGCGATCCTTTACATGATTTGGAAAAATTACTCGCATTGACGCCTAATCTTGCTCGATTGCGCGTTCGAGGAGGTCTTGGCAGAAGTTCTGTAACAAGTTATTTTGAAAAACTGGCCAAACTCATGCCCAAAATTGTTCCTCTTCTTCAGCGCTTTGATTGTGAAGTTTACTGCTATTCGACCGACACTCGTGAAAACGAATTCAATATTCAGAAACTTCACACATTTTTTAAGAAAGTCCGATGCCTTTCTGGACATGGTCATAATCAATGCTACGCCACCGATATGAAAATCTATCCGCTCAACAATGAATATGAAGGTGAGTGTCGTATTATGGTTAAAAGACATTGACTTCTTGCCAAGTGACATTCTCTATCAAAATATTCGTACGAGGTCGTACTATTTTATCGTGAATATATATATACAAAGATGGTTCTTTGAGTTACAAACTAAACACATTTTCTCTTTTCAGAATCATCACCACGTCCCTTGGTTTCACACACAACCTCATCATTTCACCACTACTACGATGAATACGACAGATACAATGATGATTATTATCAGGATTACGACAATGATGAAGATGAAGCATGGGCAAGAAATGAGTATGGTAATGGGCCAGGTATGTACTGGGATGGTGAATCAGATGAATGGTGCCCACTGCCGTGAATAGTGCGGTGCAGATGAAAGAAATATCTTCAAGATTTCTATTTTATTTTTTTTATAATACACTAATCGAGATGATGTCAAGATTTGTCAGAAATAACATTTGATGTGGTGTTCATCTCATTTGTGTAATTCTTTTATGTGTTCTTGCCAATTGTTCATCCATTCTTTTACTCTATCCTCATCACCGTGTCCTTCGATGTATCGTCGCACAATCCAATAAGTTAGACTGACGATTCTTTCATAATGATGTTGAATACGACTTTCAGCAGTAGTTGTTGTTTTGGTCACGTCGCCATCTCGTTTCGATAATTCGGTGGCTAATATTTCAAAGAATTGTTCTCGTTTTGTTGAAGAGGTTTTGACGATTTTGTAACAGTCCACAACGTATTCCCAGGGTCCCATTTCGATAAGGGATAGATCCCTGCCAATTTCCAGTCCAGTACACCACTTATCGTGTTGTTGAAGTCGAGCGAGGAACGATTCCCGTAGAGGGATACAAATATGGTGAGTTTCGATAACTGAATCCCCCGTTGTAAACGTGCTAATAAATATTGTTTCCAAGTTTTGAAGAAAGATGTCAGCTTTAACGTTTCGTACGATTCAAGATGATAAATATGAGAAGGTCAAAATTGTTCGATGTCTTAGTTGGTGTCACTTGTGACTTTAATGTATGATACTGAACTTTCTCCATCTGCAGCTATTCCTCCAAACCATAATGAATTACCCAGGTTTGATACAAGCAATCTTAATTCCAGGACGATATCAACTACTTGTGAGACGATCAGCAGAGGATCAACCGTTTCTCAAATTTCACAACAGGCAATTTTCCCAGTACAGTGTATCCAAAATCAATTTCTTCTGTAGAGTCACTCAAGAACAGTACCTTCGGTACTCTAATATTCGACAAATATTTTTGTCGCGTAAGAAACTTCAACCTGCCTACTTCGTTTTGTGTTTTTATTTGAAGATTGAGAGATTTAGAAAGTCGAAGAACGAATTCAGTAGTAGTCAATTCATCGACACCAACTGGAATTTGCGGTCAAGAGATGAAATAAATCGAATTGAATTCTTCTGAAAGCGTTGCTTTACATGGTGGTATTACTTTCTCCAGAGTCAACGATGTGTGCTTCTCGAAGGGACGCACAATACTTTCAACCGATATTTCCATTGATTACAAAACAATGGAAGGTAAATATTCTTTTGAAGAAATGTGATCATTCTAGGGAACACACAGAAAGACAACGAAACTGTGAAGGCGTAGGCATTTTTGTCCAATTCGAACTAAACGGTATGTCTCCATTCATACTCCAGTCAATGGCGCTAGTGATAGGTGTTAGGAGTAAATATCGAACTCTAGCTTGAATTAAACAGACATATTGTGAAATCTCATCTTTATGGATCCGATGGCGAGATGAAATACATACGCAAATATGTATCGAGCGTTTATATAGCTAAAGTGACATGCATATGACTCAAGTACGTAGATCATATACGAATGAATCAGGTATTCCTTGACTCAAAGCCGAAGACCATGACAAACAGCTTTCCGTTGAGTTGTTGAATAAGTTAAAATATCATTACATGTGTCAGTAAGAGAACACATTTCATTTCTTATTGGTGCACATTACAAAAATCAAGTTTTTCAATCCCATGAACAAATGAAATCTTAGAATCCGTAAGGCTGGTTCCACTGGCAGAACTGCTGCTCGAATGTACAAGATCAAGCAATAGTTTGGGTATACGTTTTTCACTATATCGAAACCCATGTCATTCCGTGTCGAGAGCGTGGACCAAGATAATATCGACATCTGTCAGGTATAACCGAGCGAAAAATCTAAGAAGTAATAACTTTTGAAACGATATTCGTTAGATTTTTTCACGCCCGGCCATCTTAAATCACATATACACACATAAATGACTACTTGCTTCCAGATAAATTATATTTAGGCAACAGTATTTACAATATATATTGAGAATCTGTCGATGATCAATGAAATAAAATTGAAAAAGTTTTGTTTGCCATTCACTAGTGTGTGAGGTTCATGCTAGTAATATCGAAAATCTTGGAGACCTATCCATACAAAAAAGCTTCTACAACCGCAATGGACGGATAATTACGATTGACGATGTCGTCGACACTGGACGCCTGAATAGAGACAATATTAAAATTAATTTAATTTCATGTCGTTTTGTTCACATACCAGACTTGTAGCTGCAGAGGATCCCGGTGGTATCACATCATTTGTCCCCTTGAAGCGAAAAGAAAAGCTGATCAATGTGTATGTAGATAAAAACACACAAACTTACATCTGTTGTACAGTCTTTACATTATCACCACGAGCAGCTGAACGGCGATGTCTTTCCTTGAGAGCGATACTGATACACGCAACGCTGTAAAAAAGACTTTCATATCAATCTCTATTCAATTCAAATGCATATGTGATGAACTCATTCGGAATGATCATGATTAGCAATATAAGATATAAAAAGGTAATACGTTGATGAGATTGTCACAAACCGTGATGCTTTTATAAAGAATATGGACCTACCTGCTACAGTTCACGAAAGGGTTAGAGAGCAAAATTTATATTTTCTCAGTACACATTTAGAACACTCATCAATAATTGTATTCAACAAAAAGACATTAGGGAAAGCTTTTTTCTTGATTTCGAAATTTGGTCGACCACTAAACATCCTAGGTCAACAAATCCGATGCTGGATCCGATCGGATTCCTGGAAACGGAATTGTATTGGAATCCGACTAGAAAAATCCCGTCGGTTGTTGCAAATTTTATGAACGATCTTTTTAGTTATCATTTTACTTTCATTCGCGTGCGTGTTTTGTGGCTTACAGAAAGA